TATCTCTTGCCAGGGATCCTCTGCACAACGACAAGTATGCGGTGCGAGGATTAGTACTAGTGGATCAGCGGAGATTTCCACCGGGTCCAAACTGGAGGCCAAGCAATATTTTTTCTTACTGATCTCTCGAGAGATCTTGATCGACGCGACGAAAGCCCCGAGAGTATCTTTGAACCCGATCTGATCCGATCCCTTCTTTTTTTTTCCCTGCATTTATGACTAAGGTTACCCAGGATGGGTTCAAGTGCGCCCTTGTGGGGCGGTCACCAGTTCTTCCGACCGCGTTCGATCCAGCATGATGACCTGAATGTTCGCTCTGGAACATGGAAAGAACCATCAATCATTTCACTCTCTTTTTTTTGCATGATTAGTCATGCTAATTATGCCATGAAAAAAATTGCGACAAGAAGCGCTGCATCGTAAAATCACCCATGCAAATAGCAGAAATTTTCCGCCTTATTCAGGATTCATCAAAAATTTGATCGATCAGAAATATCTGTGTTATATTGCACGTGTTGCCGCATTCTCGATCATCTCGGATGTACGTCAGTGATATGCTCGAGTACTTGGGTCGTTCGCCTGTTTCTCAATTTTCGCATAAATTTCTCGCACTAATCAGTTTAGAGCCATGCTCACATGCACATTAAGTAATGCTGCAATGCACCAAAGAAGAATAAATGGATCAGCGCGTTTCATAACGGTTACCTGAAGGGATCAATTTGGATTGCACATGAGGGGTGTGGAATTCCATGGGGATGAAACCTGCTTTTCGCTTTCTAGATTATGGGGTTTCCTGGAGAAGAAAATGAGAAGGCATGCGTATACCTTATTCAAGTTATAACATGCCTCGATTCTCCAGGAAAAATTGCGTCAGCTAAGAAGATGGTTTGCTGCTTATGAATGAAAGTTGAGGATTGGCAAAACCGCTGTCACATAAGTGCGGGGTATGCATGAGAGTTTCTAATACAGCATCTTTAAGAACCAGTGGAAACTAACGCATGTGCATATAAAATTAAAATAAGATTCAACGTAACTGTTTCCTTCCTCCGAAGATGTCGTTTGCCTCTCGGCATAACCTGTTACTTTTACCTTTTCGGTATAAGCTATCGAGAGAATTAGCTGGGTTTTTCTTGTGCGTGGACCAAATATTTATTTAAAATGCTATATTTTATTCGCTGGCAATTTATTTTCTTCCTGAATGCGAAATTCAAAGTCGGCGTGTATTCCGTAATCGCGAAAATATGATGCTGTATTACTCCAGCAACGTCTGCAAAAGTTTATACTGTAGAACAAAAATATTCCCGAAGAGATCAGGAGAAAAAAGATTATCGTGGCGCCTGTATAACTTTTGACGGCGCCTTGAATTTTTTCCAGTGGTTCAAGAAAATTGATAAGCAATTGACACAATATATTTATGGAAACGACATACACTACCATGATCGCAATGTGGCTTGTGCGTTCCACGGCTCGTAACCTTGAACTTTGTGAGTTGAGCTTTCCGTTTCATTGCTGTGAAATTTGTTCCTTATTTTCGGGAAGAATCGGGCGGCGCCCGGGAAATGATTTTATGGGTATTTTTATGTTTTTTAAGTCTCTGGGGAATCATAATTCCGCTTCGTAATACCCATCGTTGCCCGGGACGTGGACGGAAAATGTTGACGTCCGTCGTCTCGTGTCGGTGCTGAATGTTGGGTCCATTTGCTCCCCCCGTACCCACAGTTTCGCCCGCCATAAAAACCCGGATGAGCCTAGCCAAACTTGTGAGGGGATCGCTGGGTGAAGAAAAGCGTTTTTTACACCACCGATTTCGTTTGCGCTGGATCGTCTGAACCCCTTCCGGAATGCGTTACGAATTATTTGACACTTTCCTTCCCTTCGGCTGAGGCATTTCGTATATACAGCTTCGCGAAGAATCCGGAGAATTTCTTTAAAAAAATTCCAATTTTCATCTATTTTTGACCGAAGTGATTGAATATTCGTATAGTTACCGCAGCTCAGATATTCTAAACCGATATTATTTGGATCCCGTCCTCTGCGACTCAGTGACACGTTCGAAGATTTAAAAAAATTTATTCCAGAAAATATAAAGCATACATGCACGTGAAACACAAATTGACAACTTGCATGGTAAAAGCACTAGGTTTCTTTTCCCTTTAAGATTAGGATTAAGAGTTATAACATTAAGCTTTAACCTTCTTGGCGGTCGTAACTAGATTTTTTTTTCTGACCCAGTAATATAAAATAATTAGAATAAGGAGCCATATAGCTGAAAAGGGGCCAACAGGAAACCACAAATTATATTGTTTGAATGAGCACAGGACTTGAAGCCTCTTATTGTGAGATAAATTAAGAAGTTACTTGGACTCGAATTTAACTCATAAAAAATTAAACCCCATCGGAAATACGCACACTTTTCAGACGTTTCAAGTAACACAGGCTCATGGATTTTTGAGGGCTGTGAAAAATATATGTCCCCGCTCTACCAGTAAATATTATTCTATGCGCATAATAGTCTGGGATCCCTGGATTCCAGTACATCCTACCTGCTAGGGATGTGTTGATCCCCATCTTTATGCGGTTTGCATCAACCACTAAATTCGGCCAAACCCACAGGCTCATCTCAGTAGCTGCACAGAATAGTTTATTCATGACTACCACAACTTCGTAAGTATGACACTTGCGATGCCTCCGTCGTTATAAACAGCCATTATGTATAATTCGTCAAAATGTGGGTCAAACTTGATAAAAACCATCATCTGCTTTTTCAAGTTTTTTTTCTAAACCCTGATATGCTTCTAATGATAAGTATGAAGAGAAGGTCCTAAAAATGAATTCTTCTGCTCGGTTCCAAGCAGTGAATTGCCGGGATTTCCTCTTGAAGAAGATCTTGGGGATTCTGAGCGGGGATCCTGACGATTGGTCATTCTCTCGTGCCTGTAGAAGGATAAATGATAATTTAAACCCTTTCGGTGGGAGATTTTGGAGGAATTGTGAAGATTTCCACCATCGACTGCTCGCGATGAATACCGGGGAAAATTTCGAAAAAGAAGTCCAGCGATTTTCCGGTTCATGCGTTTTATCATGATTCATGACGGCGATTCCCAAAATATGAGACCTGAAGAACGTTGTACTCGGGGAAATAAATCCCATGTTGATGTGTAAAGCCGTCGACCAATACTCTGAGCTTGTTTACAAAAACGAAGTATTTCGCAACTTCCTTTTTGTTCGTAATAAAGAGCATCGATGACAGGTCAACCTTCCTGAAATATTTTCTCCCTACCGGACTTGAAACAAGAACCTTCTACTCCTGCGAAAATCCGAAGGTGCTAAGACACATTAAAGTACTATTTCAGAATTACTTTTTTGTTACAGCCCGTTGGTGATCCTTATTCCTTAATTGAGTCTAGTCTTCGAATGCGTCATTCCAGATAATCATTGTTGTGCAATCAAAAAGACGAATTCAAAGGAAAACTCGCAAATATTGTAACTTTCTAAAGTCATCAATGACGGAGCATTTCCCAGGAACCTCAATCCAACTACGCGCTTTGAAATAATTTTCTGCATGGTGATATAAGGTCAGTTTGTGATTGATTTTTGATTCAACGATCCCCTCCGTCCGAAAAATGTGAAACCCAATTTATCAGATTGGCATTCGACTCAAGTACTTGCATTTTACTAGCCTTATGTGCAGGGGTTCTTAGAATTGAAGTCTAACGTAGTTTAAAGACGCAGTTCACAATTGGATTTCTTCATTTTCCCGGACAGATGCAGAATTAATAGTTGCATACGAACTGTGCATATGCATCACGGAGCGGTGCTTGGCATGGAACTTGTTTCATACATTAGTAATTGTTTGCCACCCGTTCCCTTTTTTTTTGGGTGGGGTTAGGGCATTTAAAGCACCACTGTACGAAGCACAATTAGTCGGTAAATATTTTTAGCAGCCAGGCATCGATGCTCGATATTGTTCTGCTTCCATGGGAAGTGAATGAGCCAGAAACATTATCATTAAGTGACGCATTGAAAATACTACATGAAATTGTATTCGGGTACTTGTCCGGGTCAGAGGAAAAGCTAGGTCCAATTATAAATAGATATGCTTTTAGATTAATCTTTCTGCGAGGTTCTCATTTTGATTATCCCAGTGAAGCCTCAAAAGCTAGTCGGCGTCAGTTTACTCGTACAATCTAACTCGATCTTGCAGTAATTAATAACCATGCATTACGTATCACATAACATATAGGGCGATTGAAGCCATTTTGGCGCAATTGCTAAACGAGTAATGAAGGATTTAGTTGTTCCCTATGTACGTGTGTAATTTGAGACAAAAGTGCGGAGTTTCTTCCGTGTGGGAAAGTGCGTGTTTCGCAGGTTGAGTTCAGGTTGAGTTACCGTAACATTACTTCGTGGTTGATATTGCATTATATCTTTGATATTTAATATTATGTCTATGGTGCCTCAGCTATATAATTTCTGCCAAACGATGACCTGGTTTTTCGCCCCACTTCCAAGTAAATTTTTGACAGCCAGGCTCCAGACAATAAATAAAGCATCCGTATTTCAACTGGCTGTTCATCGCTCTTCCGCTGTCATTCTTCATGAAATTTCACGAAAAACCGTGAAAACATTGCAAGGAAGAGAGGTGATTTTTTTCGCCGGGAATCTTCAGGAATTTTTCGGCTATTAAATCGTGACTTGACCCCATTCCTCGGCGTGTCTTGGACCGAAGTGTTGCACGCTTATGAATAAGGCAAGTCGTGTTTGACAAGGAACTTGACCTCTAATCAAAAGAATCTTGATTTTATTCATTTGACCGCCTTGCATGTTTGATCGATTCAGAGAAAATGTGCTACATACAGCATAACTAAACGTCCTCCTGGTTTTTGCACACGCAAAGTTTCTGAATGGGCACCTGCATTTTCGCGCGGATCAACACATTTCGAGGACCCTCCGCTTTTCTGAAGACGGTTTTCGGCAGATCGTTAAACAGGTTGACGGAAATGCATGCCATGTTCCCGAGAGCGTTAGTGGTGAAAGGGGTTTTTACTGCGAACTTAAATTTGCACGATAACAATCGGAAGTGTGGGTTCAAGACGTTATGAAGCGCGAAACAAAGGCGGAGGAAAGGCTCGACCGGAAGTGTGCTGGTTCGCTGTTGCGCAGTTTCTGGATAAACTGGTCGTAAAGAACATATCCGCTTCTTTCCATTCCCCAGATCGCAAAGCCATTGGACTTCGTCATCTGGTATAGAAACGATACGGAAGTGCTGAATTACGACCAGACTAGCAACATGGAGAAGATCGAGACGAGGCTCATGGCGCTGGAGAACGGGTCGTTGAGCCAATTGACGATCCGAGATGCAACGTTTTCCGACACCGGAAACTACACTTGTTCCGCACCGAATACGGATCCTGTGCGGGTTCAGGTCTACGTGTCTGAAGGTATTTCCTGTTCCCTCGCTCTGGATTTCCGCTAGTATTGAACATGCTCGGAAAGCAAGACCTGCATTCCACGAACAACTTGACCCTTTTTCTGCGTGTGCAAGGAAATGCTGAGGGAAGAAAGTGTCAGTCGAGGTTCCTTCTGTCAGGCGCAATACTCTACGGAAAAAAATATATTCTCGATAGATAACGGTGATCCTGAAAAACCTCGACAGTAAATACAGCGTGATGTTCTTCATCGCCCTTTTCCATTTATACACGCTGCATTGTCCCACATCGTAGTTCAAAAGCAAAAGAAAAATCCCGTCTCGTATTTCCCAATGGTACGCACACATCCGTCATTTCGAGGCACTGAGTTCTCGATCATTTAAAAAAAAAATAGTACGGTCATGATCATAAATTTAAACCGTAGTTCAAGAAGCCTATTTTCGATTCCCAATTTTTTGCAAGCATTTATCATGTTGGCAGATCCATAAGAAACAGCACGGAATTGCGTAGTTCAATTCGTAGTTACTGATTCCTAATGCTAAGAAAAATGTCGAAATAATATTTTCAAGAATTATTTTGCCATTACAAAAACGATTAATTATATAGTTCTTTAGGAGGTTATTTCCTTTTGAATGGAAAACGGGAAACGTCCTTCGAAACAGATGGATCCGGTCTTCCACATCTAATCGGTGCTTCTTGAGAGGTTTTTAATTTGCTGATGGTATTTTCACCCGCTCAAAAATTGAAAGATTCTCAGCTGATGACCGAATGTTCAGAAGAAATTTTCTTGCGGTTCATGATTCACACTTAGGTTCTTTATTGTGTGTTAGACAGATAAACGTGAATGCTGCAGTTGTTTATGGTTTTATAATATATTTCTGAAGTTTGTATAAAAAAGAGAACGTATAGAAAACAAATTGAAATCCTGACATCATACAGACAATTACGATATTCGTTCCTGGAAGATTACAGTAACAAGTTTTACATTTATTTACGAGAAAATACCTTCGGTCAGCGCCTGGAAAATTCAAGGAAAATCAGTCGCATCAGCAGGGAAAGCCATCTTTGTCATTCCATGGTTGTCTAGAAATGACAGCGAATGAATCACGGTCGTATTTTCTACGAAAGTACGCCAAACGCTTCATTTTTTTAGAGTTAAATTATGCCGGGATTGCTTCCCTCCATTCGCCGATTTTTTGGCACGAAAAAAAGGGAGTATAATTTAATGCCTTGCTTAATTTTTAAAATATTTTTCATGACTGCAGTGGCTCCATAAATACTTCTTATTATCGGTAGTAAGTACAGTATAGTGGGTAATTGGGACATCCGCTTCACAAGAAACGCTTATTGTGGGGTCGGATAAAATTTTGCAGTCATTCTTCGAGATCTGAATTGATGGCGAACTGGGTTTTCTTGCGTTGCTCTTCACACGAAACTCGAATTTTTTTTCTCTATGCACCAAATCGTCAGCCTGAAAAAGGATCTAAATTAAAACCGCACCGCAAACTTTTGGATAGTACCATATTTACTCAAGTACCACACGCACCTTTTTTCCCAAATTTCAGAAGAAAAAAGGGGTGCGCGTCATAAGTGGGTACAAAATTTTCAAGAAGTTTTAGGAACTTATGTGTGCAGTATACTTGATTATAATGGATAAATTTGGAGCAAATGTACCAAGAAAACGTTTGTGTACTGAAAAAGTTGAAAATTGATATTTTTGTTCAATTCATGCCTAAAGTCAATTTTTTTGTTTTTATTTGCAAAATTTTGTGGTTTTAGATTCACTAAAAATTTGGGTGCGCGTCTTAATCGGGGATAAGATTTTAGAAAAATTTCCAACTGAAAAACCCCTCTGCGTGCCTTACTTGAGGGCGCATGGTACTTGAGTGAATACAGGTAACTGCACGGGTAGGAAACTTAAGAGGGTTTTGGAGACGCAGAAATTGAATCAGGAATGTCTTTCTGCAGGTGATATCCAAGCTCCGGTGCAGCGGAAAAGCTCCGCATCAGGTGATAACGGCGTCCCGGTCCCGCTGGCGTTGGTCGCCGCCATGGCGGCCTTGTTCCAAGCCGTCGCGAGGTGAGCGGCCGACGACGGAATTGCCCGCCAAATCGTGTCCCTGGCGGACCATCGTCAATGTCATGCCACAGGTTCTGACCAGCCTGCTGCGCTCTATCTGCAAATTCTTCTCCCTCCCTCTCGTGCTTCTCTCTGCTGCGCATCTTTCACGAAACTATTGGCAAGCACTTTGTCTTCCGGCGACAGAGTCTGCGCAGAAGCCTGATTTGGCTGGACTGTAACCCGCATGAGACGTGTCACACCCGTGGAATGTCTGCTTGTCAACCTCATCATCCCTTCCAAAGATTTACTAGGGCTTCGGGTTGGGATGTGTTGGAGATGCATGCAGAAAAGTGGCCGAGTGCTGATCGCCGAAGTCTTCAGTCGGATGATGAGCTCGAGGCTTGGGAGATTCATGCGTTGCTATTTTTTGCATCGTCAAGCCAAATGTGGCGCCATTTTGGGGGAAATGCGTCGAAATTCTCAATGAAAGTCCCGTTATTCGGTTGTTACCCGTTTACGTGGCGCTGGCAATGCATTGGGCAGAGCTGACGAGCGTTGATGCCGATGTTTTTGCGAAAGCTGGTTTTCTTGCCAGATTTCGGAAGCTCCTGCTAATGTGGACTTCTCGTTGTGGCAGTGCAAAATTTGGCAGGTTGGGACAAGAACACCATGGTTAGAAAACTAACTTTCAAGTTTTTATGCCCCGATAAGTAGATAAAATAATGCCCTGCCGTCTGTTCCATGTTGTTCATTTATCGTTTGTTGAATGCCCTCGTGCATAAATTTGCCGATTTGTTAAAAAAAAGGACATTGATTGCGTACCTTTTATTGCGATTTCGCTTTCTTAGATTTAAAAGCATTCCGATGCCTTTTGAACTGCACTTCAGGCAACTGAATTTCGTGTCAAAGGCTGTTTAAGATTCATAGGATGAAATCCACGTATTTGCTTACAATTATCTCAGAGTTGATTGCTTCCCCACTGAAATCTGCGACAAAGTTTCATAATGAATTGCCGATTATCTCTCTTTGGTTTTCTTGTCCTCACTATCTGAATTTTGCGGTTCGAGAATTGCTCATTCGCAGGGGGGGTCAATTTAAACAAAACAACAAGATGCCAGTGACCTAAATATTTTTGACCGCGTTCCGGGGTTGCATCCAAGGAGCGTTCTCGCTGAATGCAGATGCATCACTATTTTAATGTGAGAACGAGCTTAAAGGTCTGTTATAAAAAAATGTTTCAAGATGATGTGTGAGGGTGCGAACGCACATCTTATTTTCTAATGAACCACGATCCGATATTCGAAGTGTGGAGTACCTCGAACTTGATACCATCCTGCACAGAAAAATTTGATTTGAGTTTTTTTCGCATGACTTACGCGCGATGATTCCCTAAATTTAATGTTCTACTTGCGTAGAAAAACATTTTTAGAAAAGGGAGAAGCTATCAATGGGTGGGTTTCGGTTTTTTACGACCTCCGAAATGTTAGAACCACAAATTTTAGCTTGATACTGAGGAATGCGCTTCACCTGGAAGTAGATCAGCCAGTCTTTATTTCAGTTCATTTGTACAGAACTTCAGGAAAGAAAGGAATGATTCCCCAAACCTTTCAAGCTTTTCAGGAAAAACCCAGAGATAAAGCCTGTCTGGGGGATTGGAACAGCAGCCGGCGATGGAATTTCGAACCAGTGTGGAAAGTTTTTTTCAAGCATGTGATGCACAATTGTTTTTGTTATTTTTTTGAAATCTCGCTTCATTGTGTTTATTCAAGTATTTGTGTCGATGGGTCACCATGTGGAACGATATCATGTATAGCATGTGGAATCTTGAGCGATTTGCTTCTTCGAAAAGTCGCACGACGTGCTGACTGGCGAATAAATGTTGTCTGGTATTAAAAGGAAGTACTTCATTCCATTTTTCTGACTCGGTCACGCATCGTCACTACATTTTAAAAACATATTTCACTGCTAAATAAATAATGGAATTTCCGCGGAAAATTCAAAGATTCATGGACAATTGTGATTCTAGTAAGATGAACTTTCAGCACTGATACGCGTCGAGTTCCCAGACTTTTCAAAATTCTGCATCTTATTTAAAATGTAAAATTTACAGCCACGAATCTGCGGAATAAGCATCGTAAAATTACCTTCGTCCTTGATAATCGACATACCTCTCCTGCATTCAATACTTCAAAGAATCACTTCGTATTTTTATCACCAATTGAACTTGTTTTCACTGCTGTACATACAGCAGTATACCGGATATGCGAACAATTTCAGCTTTGCTCTTAAGCTATAATTAATGCGTTAAAAAATTGCAGAAGCTTGCATCCTACATAGCTTTTAACACTCTTAAATCAATTAGCAAAATATGCGAATCGCATCTTAGTTTGTGGTATGTAATCGACGCAGCTGTCTAGAAAATTGATGATCATTTCCGACAAGACGCTCTACAGCATTCTACTTTCTTTTTACATTATATCAAGGAATGGATATCGTTCAGCATACCACAGGCGTGAATTTTTAGAGTGAAGCGGAATATAATCCAAGGGGCCGAGGGATTTCCTCGTCGAATAAGGCAGCTACTGCTGCGAGGGAATGTTTCCTGAAAAAGCGAGATATTTCATCAATAACGCGAAGTCAAGACATAGATTTATGAATGTCGATAGCTATTTTTCCCCCGAAGCAGATTCCGAGGGACACACGCCGATCAGGAACTCCATCGTTCAAGAGGAAAGGAACGTTGAACAGTTTACTGAATAAATATCCTGGGCGTTTTCGCGGAGCACTTTCGGCCAGGAAAGAAACATTAGCCAATGATCGTGATGGTGCTAATGATTGCAATATTGACCGTCCTCACTCAACCGTGGCAGAGGGAAAAAAACAAAGGCAATTTTTCCATTCAGTTGACCCAGGATAATTTCGCAAGAAAACAAAATCAGGCCCTCGAACCAGTCACCCTCTTTTCTCACCCGAAGCTAGTCCTCTTTATTCTAGCCGCATGATTATTATTTGTGGTCGACATTGGCATGAAACGAACCTCGCTTCAAGAAGAACAAGTTTTTCAAATTGCGTTTCCAGTTGGAAAATTAAAATGCCGGGTTTGATCCGAGTCCAAAGCATGTATAAATGCAGCCTTCGTTGACTGGAATAGCAACACTCGTGCGTTCAGCGGTCGTGAGGAAGGTTGTGTAATTTTTCGAGAAGCGAATTTCGTGCGAAATCAATCCTGCTTATTGCTCTCTTACGTGAGTAACGCTAATTTGACGTGCTACGTTCTTAAAATAATTGTTATTACTTATCCTAAGGCGGTTGTACGACAATGCCGGTTGTAGTCGATGTTGAATACTGTGGTCCTTGTGGCTACCAGGGTATATTCGAAGACCTGGCGAGCATCATTGAAAGCAACATACCGAATGTAGCTGTTCATGGCAATCCTGAGGGGCGTGGTATGTTGATCTCACTCGCGCGTATTATGTATTCTTGTTAATGTCTTGTTTTTCGTATTCCTTGCTACAGCTCGTTCATTCGAAGTGAAGATCAATGACACGTTGGTGTTCTCTCGACTGATATCGAACGCTTTTCCGGATCCCAATGAAATTGCTGAAATTGCTGCTGCTTCTTGCGTTGGTGTCACTCCGACGTGGGCGACACACATGATGAGCTAAACGATACTTACAGGCCCGAACTGTTCATTCTTCCACCAATTTTTCAGCGAGATTTGATTCAAGTATTTTAATGCATGGATTTTGATATATCTGCATTTGAAGCAATAATAAACTCATCAGCATTATATGCACGTGCTTTTCTTTCGAACCAACTGATCAGTTTGCGGAAGGTCTAGAGCGACATCTGTTCTCAATATGTTAGAATTACTATATCTGGATAAGCTTGTGGTACCAGAATGTCGCCTCTCAACTAGTCTGTATCGTGTGCGGCAAATATTTTCAATCCTGCATTACTCGAGTCTCCACTGCAGCATTGTGGAAACGAAAAAATGATTGAATAATCTATTTGAACGGAAAACGAAACTGAATACGGCTGCTGCATGAGTAAGATTTATCCTTCAGATTGGTGACATCTAGTCAAAAGACGGATTTTTGTAGTGACGGACAGCGTAACTTACCCGCTAGACGTCTCGATGACCTCTTACTTGAGAACATTTCTCGCTGGGGTTTATTAAGGAGGGTATCGGCGAGAGTTGGCTGTGTTTTGCACGTTGCAAATTAGGGAAAAGTTTCCAGAGACGAAGTACCATCCTAATTCTCCAATGAAAGTTCGATCAGTGTCTGTCTAGAGCGTATGTGACTAATTCGATTGTGGTGCGTGATCGTATACCGTAGTAGGTTCATGAATTCAGAGGTGAGTTGATTCATCCGTAATCTCAAACTCTTCAATCTAGCAATGAACCGAAACCGTGAAGTAACGCAGGTACAATTTTTTTCCCCTTTCTTCACCAAATGTCCACGCTTTCTCCCTAAATAAGTTGTCTCACGAACTCTGACGAAACGGCTACTGCTATGAGCCCATTGCATATTTCAATATTGTTTCAGAGAAATCAATCTCTAAAGAATAAATTTGAGAGAGAATCTTCAAGATTTGTAAGTTAGGGCTGAAGGCCAAATTTAGTGGCTAAAATACGTAAAATAGTTACGCTATACATGGACACGTACTCGGCTGTGGTTAATGTTTCCCTTAGTGCATAATGTTCGAATATATTCAATATATTCCCACTCGAGCATAAGAGCTAAGTCAAATTCCTGATTTTGATAAAGACTTTGATAACCTCCTGAGCATGCTTCCGAGAAAGAAGCTTCAGGCTGAAGTTAGTGGGATATAATTTGTAAAACATTGGCAAATGCGTTTCAGGCTGGAGGTCCCATTTCGGCATGACAAATGAGTAACCCCCTACTATACATTTTATCCTCTTTATTTTGAAAATAGGCACAAGTCCATTTTAACATCGTATTTTCCATTTTGAACTGTAATTTAAATGGGTCTATGTTCATATTGCAATCGGCCTGTTCGAAAATCTTATTTATTTGTCATTGTACATTTTAGATATACTTTTCGGTAATGCTTACTATAGCGAGATTGTTGATGAGATTTCAAGTTTTCATCTGTATGTTGTCTATGGTTCAATTTTTAGCGTGTTTCCACCAGTCCTCCTGTTCAGAAAAATTTATCTTGTTTTGTGTGGAACGCATTGAATAATGAGGACATAATGATTGTATTTTTCGCAATTAAAGCCGGGTTAAAACCATTTTGAATGTGTATTCGTCGTTTCGTTTAATTTATATTCGTTGAATATGCCGCACTTTTCCCTGCCTAAGAGCTTCGTAATGTTTAGTCCGATTCATAGGCGAATATTTGTTGGACGCGAAAGTGACAGTATTTATTCGCATTCTTGGGGGAAATGTGAGTTTCGCTTCGGAAACTTTTAGCGTTTGTCTGTTATTAAAGCATACAATTCGGCGGAATGCATCCTAGTACGAGGAATGCGCTGTCGTGCATTGGTGTGGGAAAATCTTAAAAATGGCCAAAATAAAACGGAAAAGAAAATTGGAAAAGCGCGGAATTTCAACGGAATGAAGGCTTCTTCTGTGCAGGTTCTTAGAATAATGCTTCGATGATTCTCGTGTGAAACTTCTCCGCGATCCTCTTTTCCCACGATGGGACGAATTGTAGAGATGAAATGATTCACCGAAAACGGAACACTTAATTTACTACAGTTTAAGCAAGTAACCAGAGATACGGATATAATAAGTGAATAAAATATATATACTCCTATATGAATATTCCATATGCGTACCTTTCGAAATTTCTGTAAAAGTTATTTTCTTGCTGCTAGCGGACGAAGAATGAAACTTCATGCAGTGAAAAAGTTAGTCGCACGTAATCCGTGGATGTTTTTTCGGAAATTGCTTCAAATTTATTCATGTGATTCCTCCTCCACTCCCGTGAAGATGATGAAAAATCCCATAAAATAGATTTTGCTGTAAAGTGCATTATTTCAATTTCCAGCATATTTCGAAGATACAAATTTTTAAATTCCGAAGAAGCCGCGTTTCTCTTTGACCAGCAGACTTACGTTCAAGCTGAATGATACAGGGTGCCCAAACAGTTACTGTGCGATCAGAAATCCCTAATTTCTGCTTAATTGAGCAGAAAAACAAATAGTCTGTAAATATTTCACATAGATTATTTCCGCATTCGTTGAAGTAGAGGTGTTGGTGAAGTACATAAAACTTTTTCAAGAAATGCCTGATCGAATCTTTTTCGCGGAAGGGATGGAGCATTATAGGTTATCTTTCTAATTAGTGTTTTAACGTGGGTGTGCGAAAATGTGCATGTGCAGTAGAATTTATCAATTGAAAAATGGCTTCTACTGTATCTGCATTCTGCAATCTGCAGTGACTGCAAGTTGAATATTCAAGTACAGTATTAAATAAAGGAAATATGAATAACATTGGGCATGGACCTTAAATTATACCATTGCTAGCAAATAATTGTACTGAATTTTTTAAATTGTTAACTCGAAACTTTATCGCGGAAGGGATAGAGCTGTCTTTCTAATCAGTGTTTCAACCCGTGCGTGAAAATATTTAAATGCAACGGAAGAATTGATCAATTGAAAAGTGGCTTCTATACATGCAACTTATATGTTAAAATATTAAAAATAGCCAATATGAATAGCAGGGTGGCTGTTGGGCAGAGACCCAAAATTATATCATCGCAAGCAAAAATTCGCAATAACGAAACAACTGCTGCGTCATATAGGTGTGATGCCAAAGATGGCTGTTAACCTGTTGCTCCTGCCGCACAACACTCACAAGTACGTTGTTACACCTGGGCACTTCCTCACTCATCTTGCAAGTTCCAGAATCTACAGGAAGTTGTGGGAAAGCCCTGCTCTAGAGATCTAATAGTACGCAGTCCACGCATTCCCGTCCCGTCCACACGTGTGGCTTTTACTCTCCCTCTCAGTGGGCTTCTGAGGAGCCGGGTGTGCGGTCCGCTCTGGTCCGGTCAGTTGACGCGCGGAACCCGTCTCGGCAGCGCAACCGCGGGCATTGCAGGTGTGCGAGTGGGGATTTTTTTTAATTCCTTTTTTTTTTTTCAAAATGATCCAGAGTGCACTTTGGCATGAACTACTCATTTATGTTCATCTTCGCGTGCAAGTGTAGCTTCCTGCTGGAGAGTTGTGACTGCATAATCCATGGAGTGAGTCTTATTATTGGTGTACGCCGGGTGAAGTGTCGTTATTGGGGTTTTTGGGAACAGGTGAGTTTCATTTGCTTAATTGTTTCAGCTCATTCTTAAAAACTAATGAAATAGGTTGATTTCTATAACTTCAGAAATCAGTTACTGTACATGTACTCGATAATCCACTGCATGGAAAATATTAAAAATCAACGAGAAGAAAAATTCTTGTTGGATAAAGCGATCTCTGCAGAAAGTTCTTGATTGGAAGATTTTTCCAAGTCAAGTCGAATGAAGTCTTTAGAATTTTACAGAGAAGAATTTCCCAAGAATGACAGGTCATGTTTCAATTTGTCTCAAGAAAAGAACCCGAGACTTTTTTTTAGGTCGCGTTCTATATCTATTGATGCATTTTTGATGAAATAAAAATTTAAAAAAAAACCTCGTGAACAGCCAAGTCATCTTTTGAAATATCATCATATTCCCACGGATCGAAATACAAATGTCTGGAAGCATTAGTTTTGAAAGCCTGAAGGATTTCCCTTTTTTTGAAGTTCAAAAATCCTGCCATTATATATAGTGACTGAACGTCGTTAGTCATTCGTAATCGCATAGATGATATGACTTTTTGAATACTGTACTGCCTATATTTTGTGGTAACTCTATATCTTTAGAGTATACTAAAAAGACCAAATCAAGATTCAATTTTCCTGCAATCAAACGGACGTTACGAAAGCACTACCGAGACATTAGTTCTATAGAACTGTTTCATGATTCGAGAAGATTTCACAAAATCGCGCTGATCAAGACCGTATTGGGACTCGAAATTAGCTCGTGGTGCGTGACCATTGCGGATCGGAGCGCGAAACCGCTCGAGAAGCCGGGTTTTACCGTAAGAAGTGCACGTTGCGTGTTGCGAAAAGCTGCTACTTGGGGCAATTTCAGCGAACAGTTTTCGGCAGGCGTTTGCGGTTGAGGGGGTCATGCAATTTTTTTTTTAGAAATCATCTTTGATTTCGAATGGTCACCGACGCGGAACTGCGTCGACCTGCAGATATGAACTGGAGGTCGAGGTCAAAGCCCAAGTGAAAGTACTGCATCACGACCCATTTGTTTTTAAATATCGACAAATTCTTTTCCATTTTCAATCAAATTTTTTTCCGATTTTGTCCCCGACAGTTTCGGATTTTATTCACCTGATTCAAGCAAGAGGTTCGATGCAAGAATATGAAATGCCGCGCAAAACCTTATTTTGTCCATTCGCAAAATATGGTAAAATTGTAATTCGAAGTTGATTCAAATTGAAGTGCACACTATGAATATATTTATCTGTTCAAACGTTTATGGGAGGCTTGGCAAAACTACTTACACGTGCTGGTGATCATTGCAGAAATTTGCTTCTCAAATTTTTCTTGGAAGCTCTACTGCTTCCCTCAGATAAACAATGCCAGTTCTTTGCAAAAGATACTTAAAATTTTCCTGTCTGAGGGGTTCCAAGGATATTCATAATTTGCTTCTAAAACGAATATTAAAATGACTTGAGCAAGATTAAAACTGTTTTGCATACTATACCGAGTTTCTAAATTAATTCA